GAGGTGGCTGAAGAGGTGAGTCTGGGGAGCCCTCAGCTTGGTGGGTTGCTGCGGGCACCCGGACAGCTTCTCCTCAGGGATTTCCACATAGGGCGATGGAGCTGTCGTCTGCAGGCTGCGGTCCGCTGGCGAAGAGGGAGAGCTGACGGAGGGGGTGCTCTAGGAGAGAACAAGGCAGGCGCGTTAATGTGGCAGCCACCGCTATCCTCGAGTGAAATGAAAACACAAGGTAGCTGGGAGTGCTTCCCACACCCCCTTTTAAGAAAAAAAACCAAAACAACAACAAACTGGTTCACAGTTTGCCCAGCCTGAACAATGAACTCATTTCCTTCCTTCCTTTCTTTTTCCAGCTCCTTCCTTGCCCACTGATTGAATTTTTTTTTCTCCTAATTACCCCGGCTAATTTCTCTTGAACACTTGAAAACATTGCTGAATATCCTTTGTACATGTTTTTTTTTAAAGGAGGGAGAAGGCTTTGGAGAACCGCTTGCTGTGGAAATCACCTCAGGCAAGAAGGTTAAATAAGCATAAGCTGACATTTTTGATGCACCGCGTTCCTCTCCTGGAGGCATTACAGCCTCGGGCAGGCAGAAGCAGCATCATGGCACATCTGTCTGAAGGTGCTTGTAACCTGGAAGATGAGTGATAAGTAATGACAAGAGATGGATGACAACTACAGCACCCACAGAGGTGATGGGCAGACACCAGAGTGAACTATGGGACCCACATCCCACTGCTGCCTCAGCTCGCTGTGATTTGGTGCTCAAACCTGGAACAATAATCATATTTATAGACTCACTTTTCTTCTCATACATTCTCTGTGTTACCAACCAAGGCTGGCAACTCTTTTCCTACAAACACCTAAACCGAGAAGTCTTAAACTGCAATTGCAATCTCCTAGTATCTCAGTTTCAGGCATATTCATAACATACAAAGAGTGGTGTAACCTTATTTAGTTGATATAGTCCTAAACTGTAATTCTGTGACTTTGACCAAACTCTCTCAAGATATCTCCAGAGCAGGCACAAAACTGAAACACTGACAGAAATGCTTTTGAAAACTGCTGGTAGGAAATGTTAAAGGTTAAAAGAGAACATGATTTACTGACTAGGCAGTACCCATCAGTCTGAATGGGAAGATGGGTGTGAGAAGGAAGTCAACAACTTTCTCAGAATTAAGACCTGACACCTCACAAGAAATCCTGATAAACTGGTATGGATGTTTTCAAGGAACGTACAACAGCCTTCTCGAGCTGTCCTGATCTCTCGACTCAATTGCAAGAAGTGGGATCCACAACCATCCAGAGTAGGAACAGAGTGTAGATTAACCATCAGACACACAGCTGCTACTTCTCTTGATCTGGGAAAGGAGGAGGTAGTCTGGAAAGAAATTACTGCCCTGTATTATTACTTACATGCCACTTTTTAATATATTAATGTAGACAATTATTAGAGCTATATTAATGAAGTCCTTTCAACATTTTTAATTGTGTGAATATTTTCTTGAGGTTTCAATGGTTCTGTTTGATGAGGGAGTAAACTCAGTCAAATGTCTTTCTGGTATCTACTGGCAATAACTGAAACCCCAAATCCAAACATTAAGATCCTACCCATTTTGTGGCAGGTATAAACAGGGATTAGAGACCATTACATTTTCTTCTCTGTCATACTACAAAATCACTCCAATTTACATTTGCCACACAGATTCAGTTCTTACAATGAATGAACCCTTGTCAAACAATGAAACGCAGCAACAATTTTTACTGTTTCTCCTTGTCAACAGTTCACTACCTACTTTGTAAAAAATAAATCCACTAGTACAGATTTCCAAAGAAAAAAATAAGCCGATAAGTACTTAAACCAGAATGAAATTTTTACTTACTGTTTATGCTTTTCAAAATTTCCTGCTGCTTATTTTTCTATAACTGCATGCATATACTATTTGTAAATACTGCATTCACCACAGAGAAATAATCATTACTCCTTTAGTTAAACTATATTTTGCATCACATTTTTCTGAGCATTATTCTGGAAAGCTCTAACGCCTTCCTGCTCTGCAGTAAGAATAGAAAACTTTCAAGAGATACCCTTCAGGTCAATCATGTGTGTGACTTGTACCGTCTCCATTACAGTGCATTTAAATATTGCTGATTAGTAAAAGGCTTAACACCTTCCTTAACCCCACCGTGATTTCCTCTGCAGAGTTTTAAAGACAACAGTCTCCAAAATTACTGAACGCTCCTGCTGCCTTGCACACAGACTGACCTCATCTTTCTGCATGCTCTCAAAAGCTGTGTGTCCAGAAGAGGCATGGGCAGAATTGATCCTTTTGAGATTAAAATGTTCTTTCAGCTTAGAGAAAAACTGAGAGACCTGGGAACTGAGGTCTCAGTTCTGTGCTCGTCTCTCCTTTTGTTGTTGTGCAAGGGCAATCTCCTAGTTTCCTTGAACATCTGGTGTTCTTTCTAATTCTACCACTAAGCATATTTGGAGGAGAGATAAGCAACTGCACCATTTTTTTTTAATAGTGATAAGGCAAAACCCTTTGGGACTAGGTTAATTTCCCTTGGGAATTGCCAACGATTCTACTGTTGTATTTCAGAGTGAAATAACTTCTGAATCCTACCACTTTCCTCTGAAAACTTCATAACAACCACCATATGTTCATTCTACATATCTGTTATATCCCTGCTTATTTGAAGTACAGCCTACCAGCTCCAAACTTCAGCTGTAACGACCATATTACAATTAATCCTTTCATGGAGAATCCAATCAAAACTAAGAACGTGAAAAGCAGTGCTCCTACAACACCGTTGTTTCTAGAGTCCTATACATCTGTGCTTCGATTACTTTTGACTCTTCTAAAGCCTCATCAGCCAATAACTCTATGAATGAAGGGAAGGGCAAATGTTTTCATCTTGGAAAAATCTCCAAAAAGATCTTTAAAAGGTGGATTTAAAATCCCACTCTCTCTCCTGGAGTCAGACACTCCTACCTTCGTAAGAGCTGCAGTTGGTATTAAGGAGCGGCCCAAGGCTGCTTCTGGATCAGGGTAATCCACAGACATCTGGCGACCTGGAGATGTAGGAGCGACATCGACCAATGCTTCACTAGCACTACGGGAACCTGCTCCTCTCTCCTGGGCTTTATCCTCATGTGCTTCCTGATGGGTGAATTCTGCTGGTGACCTGGAGATCCTGCTCACCGACTGCACTGTGCTCAGGACTGTCATCTTTGTCAGCAGCGCCTTTGGAAGCCCATCCATAGAGTCCGTGTGAACTCCAGCAAAACAGTCTGGAAGTCTGATGTCTTCATCAGCGCTGGCGGTGTCCTGCAGGCCGTGTCGAGAGGGGTGATGCTGGGGGCTGGCTGTCACCGAGGGGGTTGTGGATAGGACTGACTCAGCCTGGCTGTCTTCATCATCATCTTCATTGTCATTTTCATCTTCATCCGCACCATCAGACTCCTCCACGTCATATCCTGACCGGTCATAGCCAAATCTTTGCTTCTCACCTGCAAAAGTGGGAATTGGAAGGTAAGCCAAGGAAGGTCTTGGGCTGATTGGGAAGGAGATGGGAGGAATTAGAAAGACCAAAAAAACCCCACAGCATGTGCATTTTTCAGTCACACCCTATTGCATCAAAGAAACATTTTTATCTTCTAGGGTATATATTTAATTATACAGCTACATAATCTTTGCACTTCTGCTTCTGTGTTGTTTTTAACCTTCTAGATACGACTGTTTTCTTTTCAGCCATTTATAAGCATTTGCTCAAAGTCACCCTTCGCTTTTTCGCTTGGGGAGAAGCGAGCAGATTCCTGGTTCATTAAGTTCCCAGTGATGACATACAAAGCTGGTCTGCCAACCTTAGCAGTGGGATATTCTCTAGCTGGTTCTGACTCATAAGTGGGTGTCCTTGTAGCTAATATGAATCACTGCTGCAAAGGTTTTTGAAGGATGCAAACAGAAAGACTGGAGGCTGTTAGTCAGGAATCTGTCTCGTTAACAGGCAAAAGAGACCAAAATTAGACTTTACCAGATTTCTTCACTTTCCTCATGTTTGGAAAGGTTTATTAATGAATCACCCAAGATGTCCTAGGAGGCAAGAAAGCCCTAATCCTATCAAAACTTACCGATGCATGAAACTTTGCTCACATGAAGAAGCCCTCCTGATTTCAAGTCTTAAAGCCAAACTGCTGTCTAGTGGTAAATTTCTCTACGAAATACAGCTCTACTGCAGCTTTTCACCTTCTTTTATATCAGAACTTGGAAAGAAAGAACTGTCTTTACTAAAGAGACAGAAAATCCCATCTGTTGTATCTGATTCCAAGCCAGACTGTCTGGGATTATATTTTATAAAAGATAAAATGCTTTGGATGCACTAATATTTTATGTTCAATTAAAGGTCTGTCTGCTGAGCTCTCCAAAAAAAATATCAGCAGAAAAAATCATTTGGCTCTGCAAAACCAATGACGGCCGATTAGTTAAACTCTCAGAGAGTCTGTTCTCAGGAAATCTACACAGCAACTTACCATCAAAATAAATGATTCTGAAAAAAAAATCAGACCCTTAAAATAATTTTAATGTACTACCAAGACTTTAAGCTGCTATGTTACCAAAACCAAAACAAGCATCTTGAACCCCAGGTAAAATAAATGGATTTAATTGAGCTACCTCTCAATAAGTTACTCACCATTATAAGCCTTTATGGTTTCAAATGAGCAGTGCAATTAGGAACAAGACTTATAGCTTCTTTAAAAAAAAAGAATCCCCCTTTAATGACTTTGCCCCTCTTTGCCTACACAGTAATTTGTACATTAACTAAATATGGAAACTATAGATTTTCTACATTTACTACAGCAGGCATGAAACTGAAATGTTACTAAAAATACCCCAAATCCTCCAGGTCATTGGAACGATGCTAACAAAAATATTTTTTAAGAATTTTAAATAGCCTGCATTTATAGTTCTCATCTACAGACAAAGCTGTTCAAAAAAGAAAACACAATTTAGTGGAAAAATTAATTCAGTAAGGTCCATTCCAAAGATATGGCAAGTAGGATTGTTAAAAATATTATTAACAAAACCACATGGAGTTATTCAACATTTTTTTTTTCTATATACTTCTGTCATTTCTCTTCTTCACAGTGTTTCTTCACCATTAATTTGCAAAGCAAACAAATCTAAAATGTTAGAACCTCTACACATGTTTGATTTCTGAATGGGAATAACTTCCCTCAGTGCCTCTGTGATGGATCTTAATGACTTCTCTGTGTGTTGCATCTAAAGGGTGACACCTGCGTTTTCCCCAACTCCTTAAATAATGCATCAGGCAAAGTCTTTGGTTTCAGTCCGGGCTTCCTCTTAATTTTGGTCTATTTACCAACATCACATAACTATTCTCTGCAAAGTCTTACTCTTTCTTTTCTTTTTTTCTCCCTCTCTCCATATGAATCATATTTTCTATGCAAGTCGATGTCAATGACGAATGACTGTCTCCACTGGCAAGAGAAACTACCTGAAGTGATTAGACCCACTTGTCACATTTGTAAAAGCAAGGAAAACAGATGCTCAAACAATGCCCTGATTTATTTAAAAACACTACAGCATTTACTAGCAAATGCTGCTTATGTAGAAATTTTCTGCATATGTCTCAGCTTTCTAGAATGAAACCATGGAAAGTGTAAAGGGAACTGTGTGTGGGACACGGATTCCTTCCACGCAGGACTCCGTGGGATATCATTTCCCTCTGCTGTTTCCCTGTTTACCTGGGATGAGTTTGCCAGCTTCTCTTTCAGCGTGGTTACCTGGAGCCAGAGCCTGCCGTGTAGGCGAGGTGACAGCGATGAATGTGGTTCCCTTCCTTCCACACCGCTTCGAAACCTCAGATTAAAAAAACACCCATTCCTGACTCGCTTGCTCTGGCAACGCACAAAGGAACGCTCTGCTCCGGCTTTTATACCTGCGTGCATGTTTGCTGAAACAAAAGGTGCCCCTGCTTTCATAATTAGTGATCTCGTTAAGCATCGCTGTAAATCAGTGGAGTTTTAATTGGTGGAAGACACAGGCACGTTATAGGTCTTCTCCAAAACGAGGCACCGAGCTGAGGCTGTGACCACTCCTCGTGGTGAAAAACTCTTTTCCAAGCACTGCCTTGTTAACCAAATAGCATTGGCCCCGATCCACCTGAGTAATGGTACGCTGCCTACTACAGTTCCCTTGCACTTTTAATTGGGGAAAAATTAATTTTTTTGCTTCCTATCTGAAACTATGCACAATTATAACCATATGCTTATGTAGACAACATCTATAACTAGAACTGACTCCCTTTCCAAGGGGAACAAAATGACTTCTGTGTTTAACTTTCTATGAGGTTGTAAAGCAGTGTGGGACATTTTAGAATGAAGGATGTGTCATAAATTTAAAGGCCACTAGCACATGGGGAAATGGCTTTTGGCATGAAAGTTCACAGGAAGACAGTTTCACACTATTAAGTGAAGACTGTTCTGCTTTATGGAAGCTATTTCTCTTTCAAATTTGTAACTCTCACCATTTTAATGGAAAGACTGCTCAAGACTGCCTCAATTTTTGGGAAAGAACATTTTTGGAAGAGTAAGGAATGTCTCTCATCCTTCTGTCAACTGCTGCAATCTTTTCTTTTAAACTTAGCAAGGCTCTTTCTTCTTCCTGGACTTCACAGGAGAAGGTAGAACTTCTGGCTACAGACACAAACTCTGCATAAATTCAGAATGGGCAAGGCTGGAAATAAATGTATAATAGAAACACAGACAACCTTTGATTGGGGATTTTGCTTGCATGCCAGCTATAATTATATTTAATGAAATTAAGGGTTTAAAGCTATGTATTGAAGTCAAGTGTATACAAATAATAAGCAAAAATTATCTTAGTCATTAATTTCTTTTGTTGTCAGTCCTCTGTTAGTTAATCAGCTCTGTTTTGTTTGTGGTGGTGATGAGCTTGTTGGCCAAGGCTTTGTTATACTGACATTTTACCCCAAAGCAGGGAAAGAAAAAGCTTCGAGTTCTTTAGCACAATAGCATTAGCTGGACTTATCAGCATTCTAACATGTTCATTAGAGAAGTGCCTGGGGCTGACAAGTCCCTGAACTGCTTTTTCCAGTTGTGATGCTATGAATTAGGTGACTGAAATACATCTCCCTACGTACTTTAAAGTTCTTTATTTTAAAAGTTGGTTTTTTTTTTTCCTTACAGGAATTCCTTTTATACGTTTAAACCATATACAGGAATCTTTACTGTATATGGTTTTAACAACACTTATCTAATTATCATCTTACTGCAAAGTACCAAAAGAAAGGTTCTTCAGAATCTCAATTTACAGCTTTTAATTGTGATGTTATCACCAATGAGTCCATCACATGACCTGATTTATCAGGCCCTGCGCTACAGACTTAGCAATTTCTGCACCACTTCCAGTGATCAAGTTCAATGGCTTATAATTTAATCATATTTTGCTTATAACTGAATCGTATTTAGGTAGATTTTCACATAAAGAGCAAAATGTTCATTTTCATTCCTTCACTGAAAGGAAGACAAGAAAGACCCGGAAATGTAAGTCCAGACTGAGGAAGTTTTACATGTTCCTAAGTAAATGGACAGTTACATAAGTAACTATGAGTATCACTATTAGCTCTACTTACACAGATTAAAGACATATATTACTAAGCATCTGTTGGCCTGTTCACTATTCCCATCTAGATTTAAATTTACTAGATTTACTGGCTTGTAGCACCTGAGTAATTCCCAGCAGTGTTTACCACCACAAATTTTGGAAGTATCTTCAGTTATGTATTAGTATCTACATAAAAACATTTAATAATAAAGAGTCTGTTCTATATTATATATTCTCCATGAAACTCAAGAAAAAATATATACACTACAGCAATAAAGGCAGAAATATTTTTTAGTATGTCATCATATTACCACAAACTTGAAAGTAATCAAGTCATCAATGCACTCTCTGTTTTTCTAAACAGTTACAAGCTTAGACTTGCCTTTACCTGTCATATTAGTCTTGCAATAAACCGTTCTACAACCATTCAAATGAATTTTAAAAAGGGTGAACCTAGTCTTGTGAAACAATGCCAGCATCTATACCCAAACTTGCTGTCTCCTTGTCTTTCTAAATCTGTTCATGGGTTTTACTTGACTGATTTCAGTCTTGCTTCAGCTACTGTCCACTGCTCATCACCATCAAACAGGACTCACAGTGACATCTGCTGGGTTAAATTCAGACTGGTCATAGCCAGTGCTCCTCTGAAATAAGAAAAAAAAACAAATAAACCCAAAACCTTGGGGGTTTTGACTTTTTATTCCTAAGAGTATGGTAAGTAACAAAAAAAACCCCCAACAAACCAAATTAGATAAGAGTAATTTCTGTTTCTTTAAAGAGATTATTCACACCTAAGCCTTCCTGGGTAACCGGTACATTGCAAATCAACCTGAGCATTAGCTACTCTGTTCCTAGGGTGTAGGTGTAGGGCTCCACCACGCTTAATGTAACACCTAGTTGAGGATCAGACACTGATATTAAAAAAAATAATAATAAAAATTCACATAAGTTATACAGAACCAGCCTTCCATTCTATTTGCAAAAGGAAGATAGGATTGCAAGGATTTTAATTTATTTTCACTCTTTAAATCAGACTGAGTCATGATTAAGCTAATGAAGAGCAAGGGAAACTCCCTTAATATCTACTATAAGTAATATCTAGCTAATTAACTTAGAACCATTGTATCTTTAGAAGGGATTATTTAATACTGCAGAAAATGAAAGTGGTTTTTTATACAACTCTGTGTGTGTATATAAATATATATACATACATATCAGAAACTTATAATTAGATCTTTTCACTGGTAAAGTAATGAATATTTTGGGATAAAATTTATCCATAGAGACCATTTAAATAAGTTCTGCCCCTCTACTGTTATTAAATAACTATCTTGGGCAAGTTTACTTAGGCATACCATACCATACCATTCATACATTAACTTATATATGAAATATTACAGGCTTAAAGCACACAACTGTTTTAATTTGAAGACAAGTTATTATTGTTTTTAAGACTGCATAGCAAAATGTTGGGTCAACACGGCCAAAGAGGATATCCCCAGTTGCAGTCTGTCACACTAAACAGTTCACCTCATCTGACAATTTAATTCAGATATTAACATTCCTTGCATTGTAACCCTGTATTTTTGGTGACAAGAACATTCCACAGAGCAGAAGATGAAAGATAAATGGATGAGGGAATGGTTTTGAATACAAAAAGCCAGGCCAGAAAGTATTTACTAATACCCAAATGATGACAAGTCCAAATACAAAGAATGCTATGTTAAAAGCTCTGATCACATATAGTCTCAGACAGCTAGAGAACATCTCTTTCTTTTTTCCCTAGACACTACAGCACAACAAAATTTCAGCTTCTCAGATTACTGAAAAAACAGGCTCTGTGTGTGTGTGTGTGTGTGTGTGTGTGTGTGTGTGTGCCTGTCTGCCTTCAGGATTGTGCACAATTCTGCACCCCTTATTCAGTCTGCATGTACTATTTGTCTATTAATCTGTACTGCTATCAGGTCAAAGCTAATTTGTCCTATGAATCTAAAAAAACCCCAAACCTGACGTATTCAAATAACTGTAATTGCCTGTTTTCTAAAATATCCATAAAAATAGAAGCAGCAAATTCCTTCGTAAATAAAAAGTTGGTGGGTTTCTTAAATTTCTGGCTAATTCTCCAATTCAAAGTCTGATGAAAGACATACAGCTTAGTTATTTTAATTAAGCAAAGGTGCAAAAAGTTTTTACTGCCATAAGAATAATAAATATTTCAAATGTTTGGATAACAAATTAGTTAAGAGAGACAGACAGACATTCTACAGGTCAGGAAACAGGCCAATCTCACATGGCCTATGGGAAGGAGAAATTTGTTTTCTGAGGTCATAATTATTTCTTATCAGATTTTCTGCACCTTCCTCTAGAGCATCTCACATTGCCTTCCAGCTGAGGAAGGCGATGGGACCGGGTAGACCACTGCCTCCAAGAAAGAGATCATTTTTAACAACCACACAACTCCTGAAGTAAAAAGTGCACTTTTAAAGACATCGGTATTTAAAGCACCAAAAGTATACACGACACAAAGCCACCACCACCGCTAGCACACCAGAGGGATGAAGGGTAAAAGGGCCCAAGATGTAACGCCACCAGTGCAGCTCAATACCCAGGGCCCATCACATTGTCCTTTGTGGGTGACACACTGGCTGTCCCTAGACCCTAGACCCAGCACGAGGGGTGATGCCCTCAACGCGAGCTCTGCTGCACCACCCTGGGGAAAGGGCAGCCAAAGAGCTGGTTGAAGCCACTTTGTTAACTGGGACTGCCTAGACACCTCAAAAAAACCTCAAACCCCATATTCAATCACATTCAAACATAGCCAACAAATTAGGATATAGAGGATTTCAGAGAGGGCAACAGAACCACCTATATCTGAAAAAGCACATATGCAAATACTTCATACTTTTTTTTTTTTTTAAGTCCCCTCCTGACTCTGCCTCAAAAATAGGCCAACAAACAAGTTTCTGAATTATCACGAGAAATACCTTCAAGTGTGGCTAGGTGAGCTGAGAGATGAAATCACATTTTTAAAGTGTACAGTTACTCATTGAATTGACATGGATAATTGTAAATGCACCGTGTTATGCAGCAACCGGAGAGGCTGGGCTGGTTTGGCTGCAGCAAACACGTCTTTATCATCAGCTTAATTACCTTGATTCTTGGATGGGAGTTTTGTGGTCAGCTGTGTGACGCATAACTGGATTTGCTATGGGTACCTGAGCCAGATTTGTTTAGGGAAGATAGGGAATTTATCATCAAGTTGTTTTTTTTTGTTTTGTGGTTGGTAGTTAAAGAAAGAAGAGTTACCTGTTCTATTCTGAAAAACAGAAACAAAAAAACCCATTGCAGTCTTAAAATTAAATTTCTGCAAGAATTTATTTCATGGATTACGTGGCAAATCCTGTTGAATGTTTGTCTTGTTTTTTTTTCCCCAAATAGAATATTTATTTTGTTAAGTAATCACTGTGCTGAAACAAAGAACATATTTCAGGGAATATATAATATATTTATACTATGGTTACACACACCTGTACGTGATATGTAAAAAGAGAGTCTCTCCCTCTTTCTCTCTCTCTCTCAATTGAATAGTCTTAGAACCAAAGAAAAGCTGTTTCAACAAATGTTTGAAATGGCTTACTTCTACCAGGTGCAACTGATAATTCTGTTAACATTTCAAACATTTCCCATTACATTATCACCACAAATGCAGTTTTTAATGTATGCAATTGGGAATATTGATTTATCAATCAATAAAATGTTTTCAGTTCCTAGTAAGTGGAAATTACCTGTTCAGCTGTAGTTTATAAAACTAAATAAAAAGTTGAAAGCTACAGAAAAAAAAAAACTTGGGATGATTTTTCTGTCATGTGAAGGCTGAAAACGTTAATGAAAACTGTTCCTCTGTGAGGAAAGGACAGTTAATTTGTAATTAATTTGTATTGCTGCTTATCTGCTGTGTCACTTGCTCAGTACCTTGATTGCAAAGGGGGACAGGTTTTTGAGCTTACCAAAAAGGAATATATTGAAGACTGCCAAAAAAGGGAAAAAATACAGGTTTCTTTGTACCTGGCACACTACTGAATCATACCAGCTGAGTCACATTCCCAGCATTATTTAGAATTAGATTCAAGCTGATTCGCTTATTCCGCTAGTGGTTGTCATATGGGAGCAAGTGCATTCATCTTTCTTGCCCTTTGCTGTTTAAAAAAAGATCCCCACTGCTTGCTTTTCTCCAAACCTCATCCGCAATCTAATAAACTATTCCACCGAATAGAAGAAAAATACGAGGTGGCAAGGCAACGGGACTCATCTCCCTGCTGAGAAAGGCGAGGAAGGAGAAAATGCCACCACTGCGCTGAGATCCGAAACAGAGTCTCAACACACAATCCTGTTCCCCATCTCACTGTGTCTGGTGCATCTTTCTGATCATGCTGAGCAAAACCTGTATAGAGTCATAGAATGGTTTGGGTTGGAAGGGACCTTTCGAGGTCATCTAGTCCAACCCCCCTGCAGCGAGCAGGGACATCTTCAACCAGATCAGGTTGCTCAGAGCCCCATTCAACCTGACCTTGAATGTTTCCAGGGATGGGGCTTCTACCACCTCTCTGGGCAACCTGAGCCAGGGTTTCACCACCCTCATGGTAAAAAAAGTCTTCCTTACATCTACTCTAAATCTCCCCTGTTTTATTTTAAAACTGTTACCCCTTGTCCTATCGCTACAGGCCCTGCTAAAAAGTTTGTCCCCATCTTTCTTACAGCCCCCCTTTATGTATTGAAAGGTCGCAGTAATGTCTCCCTGGAGCCTTCTCTTCTCCAGGCTGAACAACCCCAACTCTCTCAGCCTGTCCTCGTAGGAGAGGCATTCCAGGTGGTCCCTCTGCCAACCTGGCATTTCCCTGCCTCAGGAAACCCCACTGCATGCCATGATCTCCTGTAGATCAGGCCAGCTCCAGAGCAGCTCCCCTCAGCGACTCGCTGCGTGAATCCGGTTTGGCTCTCTTTGTCCTCAATCTCATCTCCTCTTCAACGGAGCTGTCTCCGGATGGGGGAAGTGCAGAATTCCAATGATTAGCAAATACATTCATTTTGATAACGCTCTCATCACTAATGGAGAAGTAGAACAGGTCAAGATGAATAATGTTCACAATGTCTTAACGAGCTCTATCTGCTGATTTATGCCCAATTATTTGTGAAGGAGGACAGAACTGTGCAGTGGAAGATGGTCAGCCTCTTTGCAAAGCACTCAGCAACATATTTGTGATGCGGGTGGCATGTTAGTGATAAAATTTTTATGAAATGTGCATCTCAAAACTTTGAGAATTTCATGCACAACTATTTTCAAAGAAATGCTACATTTGACTGCCTTTTTTTTTCTAGGCAAACAGCTGTTTTTTTGGTATTTTCAGTCTTGTCATATTTATCTGTGAAACTGGTAAAGTTAAGCTGCATAACACTTTCTGAAGAATTTAGCAGTAATTTATCTTTAGCATATGCTTGTCATTTCTTTTAGTGAAGGTTTTTCCAGTATTTCTTACTCTCTTAGACTAGCTTCTAAGATTTTTATCTCTCTATCTTTTCCCCATACAACAACTTAAAAGCTTTGGAAAAGAAAGGGTAAGAAACTGGGATGACAAAATAAATACAAAAATGCACTAAAGAAAGAAGATTTTAATTTCTTACCAAGTTCTTCTTCTCCATCCTGGTCCTCTATTAAGCCTACTGAGACTCCCAAATCCAGGCATTTCTTGCTATGTGCCTTTGACTTCATATGTTTTGTTAAATTTCCTTAAGAAAAAAAAATTAAAAAAAAAAATTAACTGCTCTGTGACTGTACAAATGTATAAAAATATACAATTCAACATGTCTAGATCTTATTCAGCTATATTTATAACCATCTGTATAATTCAATTTCACACTTGATAGAGCCTTGTCCCCCAGTGCAAGCTGTCAAGGGTTCTGTCAGATTCACCACCCTGAATGCCACTGTATCTCTGGCTACATTTCATTTGAGTTCTCTATTGAGATAAAACAGAATAGGATGTAAATCTTAGATGATGATGTATTTTGCACTGGTGTAAAAGATCCCTCATTTGTTTATGGCAAAGTATAAAAAAGGTTGATTCAGTCTTCAAAGTCTAGTTGACAGAAAACTACTGCTGGAAACTAAAGTTGATATCTTGCAGCTCTTTTAGTGTAATAATTTTCACTGCTGGCCTAAACAAACAGGATTAATTTTATTCAAAATCAGAGCATGAAAATATTCGATCTGAATCTCGAAAGTGAATGCATAACTGCTGAGAGGCTCCCCCAGGCTGCTCTCCCCTTCTCCTCTGGAAAGAAAATACAGCAAATATTTGGTTAAGTTAAGAGTAGACCAGAGATCTGTAAATGGTGATATTTGTGAAATGTATATTATTACAGGTAACTGCTCACTTTATATTTAAAATTCCTATTGTCTCTCAAAAAACTGTGTCTTTGAGGTATTTTGATGGGAGAAATTACAGTGGGTGAACCGGTGACTCTTCTATGGTTATGGAGGACTTTATTCCTCCTTTAAAATGAAGGTAGTAATTCACCCCACATTTTGAAATAATTGTTATGAAGCTATACGACTATATTGACTCACAAATAGCAAATTCCCCAGCTTTACATACTGCTTGAAGTTACTGGCCACACTGTCCTGTCACCAAGGGTGGTTTATCAAACATCAAGCACCCAACTTTGTGACTGACTCTGCCAGCAGTGATGGCAACAGCCAGGCATAGCAACTGCAGAAGAGGAAGTGAATCATAGACCTGCTACAATGGAAACCAAGGAGGATTTCAAATAGGCAGAACTTAATTACTTGAACTTGGCCAGCGTGCCTACTCTGCAAAAACCATAATCAGAATTTATTGAGTTCACACTCCGGCATTTCATCTTAAAGGCAACATGATGACCCAGTGTGTCTGGATGCAGCAATAGGTTTTGACACATCTAAGGACTATCCATCCCACTTTCTGCAGCACTGGGTTATTTCTTGGAAATTTTCCATCCAAATGCTGAGTAGTCTTGAACCCACTAAAAACACAAATGTTTCTGAGGTTACGGCTTGGGGGGATTATTGCTAAATGATGTTTAAAGCCAAGAAAAATTTTACTGCTTAGAATTTTTTCACTGAAAGTATTTTGGCTGTGAACATCTCCTGTCTGTTTCACTTATTTTGAGTCCTGGATCTACCACTGTTTAATATACTGCCTGCTTAAACTACGATGCCTTTAAGTGAGTGGAGTGAACAGGCTTTAAAAAGTAGGGGTCCACCTTCGAGTCTTAGAGGGGTAAGTGGAAAGCAAATCTTGTCCTTCAAGAGTATAAAAACCATTTTAATATAGTAATTTAATAAAGGCCAACTTCTTTCCCAGAGCAATTAGTTGAGTGCCAACAGGAGCACAAGATAAGTCAATGTCATACCTCCAAAAGATCACTGCTAGGGACTTAAAGTCCTGTGTTCCCATCCCCACCTAGGCTGAGCAGCTAACCAGCTCACTTGTCTCCACCTAACTTTCGTCATACTCCCACATGATTTCCCTCTTCCACTCCAATTTCTCACCCACTGTGGCATGTCACACAGTTCATTCATATAAAGATGTGATTATCAGAATAAACATACAGAAGACAAAGGAAAAGAAGGAAATGAGAAACTACAAATATTTGAAGAATTAAAAAATAAAATGTCACCGAGAGGCAACTTCTTTAGCTTATAAACAGCCAAATGTGAGAAGAAAACAATTACACTTTTCTTTCTACCTGGGTGCCACAGGATAAAAAGGATCTAAAGCTGCTGGAGATTGTCCAGAGGAGGCCACTAAATTGATGAAGGGTTTAGAGGAGAAGCCCGTATGAGGAGTGGCTGAAGTTGCTTGGTTTGTTCAGCCTGGAGAAGAGCAGACTGAGAGGAGATCTCATCGCAGTCTATAACTTCCTCACGAGGGGAAGAGGAGGGGCAGATGCTGATCTCTTCTCTTTGGTGACCAATGATAGGACCACGGGAAATGGCAGGAAGATGTGGCAGGGGAGGGTGAGGTTGGCCATGAGGAAAAGGTTCTTCAGGCAGAGGGTGGCGGAGCACTGGAACAGGCTCCCCAGGGATGTGCTCATGGCACCAAGCCTGACAATATTCCAGAAGCATTTGGCCAAGGCCCTCAGACACATGGTCTGAATCTTGGGACTGTGCTATGCAGGGACAGGAGTTGGACTCAATAATCCTTGTGGGTCCCTTCCAGCTCACAACATCCTATGATTCTATGATTCTATGAGAGTAGAAAGAAAAAAGGAGATAAATGTGCACAGAAAAGTACTCCTACCTTTAGTTTTGAAGGAAAAGTTGCAGTAATTGCAGTGGTAAGGACGGACATCTGTATGGGTGCGAATATGCTTCTTGAGCATGCTGGGTTTCTTGCAACGTATTCCACATTCTTCACAGATATATTTCCCTCTCCCTCTCCCCCGAACATACACATAATCTTCATTTGACTTGTACCTGGTAACAGTACCGTAAAAGCAAGGCAATTAGTTGCATTGGAAAATTATTCTAGTTAGAAACCCTAATCTATCAGAATTTTTAAGATAATATAATAGATGAAAATGAATGACTGACAAAACCAATCATGCTCTTTTTCCGCTCAATTTCTGCATTTATTTATTAAAGTCATACCTAGCTTTTTTTTCACCAAGTAATTATGGACTTGTTTAGCAATAACAGCATATCCTTTTTAATAAAGGTACCATTTGATACAAAGCATTTAAAGATTTCAGATTTCCTCCTTGCAACAGAGGAACATACTTTTTAGAAGTGTCAGTTCATGGAAGCAGGTTTGGGCACCATGAAGAAGCTCTAAAAGAGCACTGGATGCAGAAAAGGAACAACATTAGTTACGAAAATGGGAAAGTCTTTAAAATTCCCTATCAATGTGCTCTGGACTCAGCCTACTGGGACTGTCTCTAGATGGAAAACGTCACTCAGATTCGATAACATCCTTCGTATCTCTGCTCAAAGAGGCCAAAGGTTGGGCTTAGCTTTTGTGACCTAGTCACTGCAACGTTTGGATCTGAGCAGAGACACGTAGCAATGTTTTTTACCTGGGCAGCTGGTAGTGGCTTAACTGCTGGCCTAGACTGGATTCAAACTGGGAACCAATAAAAGGAAAGCCCTAGAGCCTGACACCAATTACCAGAATACTAAAATATGCACCATTTGTGCTCAAAATTTTTAGAAGTGTCACTGGCGCTTTTCTACTTAAAAAAACCCCAACTGTTTTATAAGATGTTGTACATGGCACAACACTGTGGCTAAAGCAACTGTTATTCATATCAGGCAACTGATTTAAAGTGTTACAGTGAATGGAGGAGGACTCTCAGTAAATATTTCCACGGCACTTTTCAAATCAGGAGTTCTCCAGCCTGCGTACACCACAGGGAACTGCCAGAGACTGCACCGCAGGCTGCTGCTTAGCCCCTGGACTATATCCTCTCTGGCCACAGTTACACAACCTGATTGCAGAATAGGTATAATTTATCACGTAAGAGAAATATAGGAAAAGAATTTACATCTATGGCTCTATCTAGCTGCCTTTACTGCTGATTAATGTTCGTCCTTTGGAAAAAGAAAGAAATGAATCGCCTACTGCCTACTGTTCTTTATTTCATTACCCTTCCTTGTAACTCTCATGGCTCCATACTTCTGATGACTTTCCATTTTTCTTGGAAACATAAACCAACATTCACAGACCACACTATGGGAACCGTTATTTAAAATAAATCAAACAGGAAAGCAACATCTCTGCGAAGTCTAGAATCAAGGAAATAATATCTTCCCAATGATATCTAATATACAAAATACAATACTTGCCCTCCATCAAATATTTTAACTCTTCTTGGTTCAGTTTTGACAAAGGAATTTTCTTTATTGTGCTCAGTGCTTGATTCAGAGTTTTCCTTGTTGCTGAATTCGGTTACAGCCATTTTTTTTCGATTTAATGCTCTCTGAAAGAAAACGAAATATGCATGTCATTAGAATTTGTATCTTCCATATGCCATTCAAACCTGCAAATTCTGATGAATAAAATCACCATAAAAGCCACGATTCTAATAACTGATTTTTAAGAAATGTTAAGACGTGTGAAACAAAAAATATATTTTGCTAAACTTCTCTACTCTGCATTGACTATTGGTGAACTGGAAAATCTATAGGAGATGACAGCACTGTAGGAAACCAGGAATGCTCTGAATCTTCTGGGAAGGTGAAGGTGATGTTTTTTAGCTCACAGATTGCCTTTTGCAGAGCAAAGATGTTTACAATGAAACTCAGCTGCTTCCTGAAGGGCTGCAGCTTCACTCCTCTGCCCTTGACACAGCAACAGGACCTTACAGACGGGGCTCTGCAGCTGCATGATACACTGTCCCTCAAATTTGACAAAAAAGGGGAAACTTCAGTGCACAACCAGTTATCCGTGCTTTTTCCCCACTGCTCGGGTCCTGATGTTTCAGTAGCACATCCCCAGCTCGAGTTGCCTGGTGTGTCCCACAGCAGGGGAGGGAAGAGCTGCCCTGACTCCTCTCCATCCCATGGCTGGGGGTCCAGGGTCTCATCCCCCAACCCATGAACCAGCAGCAGGAGCTGCTCTCCCATGGCACAGCAAAAAGGAGAAGGGTGGGAAGGAGGGGTGTACCAAGGGGAGATACTAACAGATAATGTTTCTGATTGCTAGTATTTTTCAAAAAAGCTACCCATTTTGACTGTTCCCAATTTGGTAAGGTTATTAACAGGGGCTCCAGAACCCTTCCAAAGAAGGACGCCACACTTAATTCCCACTGTCAGACCAAATCACAAGAAAAACAGTACCAGTTGTCAAGCAGAACAATGCATTTGTTCTGAACAGAACAAAAAAATACGTTTCTCCATTTCCCCTGATCATTAATTAACGATTTTTTTTTTTTTTAAAGGAGAATGAGTTCCCCCAACATTTGCCAATTAAAATCTACTCCTTCCAAGTCTAGGATATTTATAAAAACGGGCAACAATGAAGGAATGATCCAATTAGCCAGCAATTATTACTGCTGTATTTATAAACTGTTCTACCCACGTAGCTGGAACACTTACCACATTTGCTCATATTGATAAGTGAATAAAATGATGAGAGAGGAAAAAAGAGTCTGGCCTTATGTTTTCTACTCATTATAAAATCTAATGCTGTAAGCTTGTGAATTTTTGGCAAGAAGAATGACTTCACTGGCTGACTTAAAATGACTGATTAATTACTCTAGTCGTTACATATATTGAAGGGTGACATCATTCTGGCAGCTGGTCCTTGCCCATAGTCCTCCATGCAGTCTCAGCCACCACCTTTACTTTCCACCTGGTGAGGAATGTGTCTGATGAGGAATTAACAGAGATCAGAGGAAAAACATCTTCCTATTCAATTCAAAGCCTTGGGAATCCACAGAGGCTGCCAGTTCTACTCCAATCCATACGCCTTTATGCAGCCCTCTGATTGATTTGGGCTGGATTTTCAAATATCTGAGGCAGTTCTACTAAAGCAGAGATGACAACTCTGCCTGCATGTAGGAAGAAAGAAATTTCACCCTGCATGTTTTAACAGCATTCACACAAGGTGAAAGGAGATGATGTTCTGGATAAGAAATATCAGAAATGGAGCCTACTCCTGTAATTGCAACTCAGCCGCGTTGTAATTCCTAGACACTACCTGGCACATGAATTGCTTTTGTTTCCACTGCAAACAAAGAGTAACAAGGTGACATTTGTAATTCAACAAGAAAAGAGTAGTGGAAAATACAGAATACATACAATAAACCAAACACCACACGTAAATATTCCCAGCAGCTGGAATAATGCAAACTTCAAAGTGCCTGATCTTTCAGTCCTAAATACTAAGTATTCTTTCCAGATTTAATTTTCAAGAATGAAAAGACAAAAGAAAAAAAAAAAAAAAAAGAATTCCAGAAGTATTTGGCCCATGTTGTTATCCAAACTCTGGTGAAACAGCTTTATAATAAATTGTATATTCACAAAAGCACCTAAAGAGCAAAAACTAACACAAGGCTTAATACCTCTGGATTCTACCCCCATCCCTTTTTTTTTTAAACACATCTATGTAGAGACATAAGACAGCCTAACATAGGTGTTCAAACTACTATTTACCTCCCACTGATGTACTTTAATTTACTGGTTATATGCTATTTTAGCAGTTGTTTCAATGTCTTAAACATGCAAAATGCTGCTATCACGGAGATGCTCTAACAGAAACACTGAGATCCTGCCACAGAAATCTATAGAAAAGCTCACTGACAAGGAAAAAAACAGTCTTTACAGTTTTTATGAAAAATTCCAAACTGATGCTGAATTGAGCAGCCAGTCTCTAAGGAGCATAGGTTTCTCGTGTGGAAATCCTTTAACATACCTCACCTAAAATCCCTAAAAACCCCACACATAATGGCGGCAAGAGAAGAAAACCAGCAGCACTGTAGAATGGTCCTCTCCACGATTACTTATGCCTTCCATTTCTAACACAGTCTTCTCTCTCTCCTCCCATAAAGACAAGGACCATGATTCATTTCTACTTTACTCATTTTGCTCCAATTTAACTCCACTGTCTTCAATTACTGGTATAAAACTGGAAAAAACCCCTGCTCTTAGGGCTGCCCAGAGACCAGAGTTCAATAGATACTTCTGGTACAACATCCCTTGGAAAAAAAAAAAACAAACCATGCTCGCAGCCTGAATCATCAAAGTTATAAATTTCAGATTAGAATATTCATTAAACATTTTTCCCCACTGGCACATAGCCACTTGAGGAAAATGTTTTTAATATCTTTAAACTTTTACTAGTTTACACATAAAAATCTTCTGTATTTAACTACTTTCCAGTGGTGAGCTGGACTGTTGTGGCTGTGGACTGTTGTGTTTTCTCATCCAAGAAAGGAAAGCTTTCCAGTTAGGAGAAACTTTCCATTCTTCAGCCTATTCTTGCCCAAAAATCTTCACCCTGGAATACTGTACACATTTACTGATTCACTTCAGAGAAGGGAGCCCAGATCAATGAGGAGGCTTGAGAAAGGGCTCCTGATACAACACCAATGACTTCAGGGAAGGAAAACTGGTGAAAAATAATAAGAAATAGAACAATAACATTAAAAGAGCAGGGAGATAAAACAAGCCTTTCCATGCAGGTGAACCTCCTGTTCCATTTTAATGGGCTGTGCTCATTCCAGGAGCTTCTTTCACAATAATACCATTCTGTGGTTTGTTCTCTGAATCACTGGAATGTGGTAACTTCACCTATTGCCTCTGAGCAGCGAATTGTGAAGAGCAAACAAAGTCCTGGGGTTCCTTATTGTTTGCATTTTGTTCACATGTCTCTTCATTTCCCATGGCGTCTATTGTTGAAAGAATTGCCTTTTTGGTGACAGTGATTAGCAGCAGTTATGCAGCAGCATGAGATCTCTGTAAACATGACTTAGTTCTGGGGGCAACCCCAGGAACAGTTCGGGAAGTCGCTTTATCTCTGTGAGAATATCAGCAGTTAAAGCCCCACGAGCAGAATATGCCAAATCACTCTGGAAAAGGCTATGACTCTGAGAGAGGAGATGAGGCATAACAGTGCTGCATTTTTATTATTATTTGTAAATTGGATTATAGTAGCACTTAAAGCTCTCTGTTAGGTCAGGGTTAAAATGTTCAAACCACTTAGGCAAATACAATCCCCAGAGACTTGCAATGTGGCTCCTGAAGGAACTCAGGACCTCACCAAGCTTTTAAGAAGGAAATAAATCAAATTTTTTTTTTTGAGAATTATTTCCTAAGCTCTTTGTTGACTCTCTTTTTTTTTCCAATGGAATATTAATTTCCATAAGGACCTCCAACATTCCCCATCCTCAGCCTCAACCAGAAAAAAAGAGAATTAAGAGAATTACTGAGCATGAACTGAATGAGGCATTTCAGTTTTTGCTTTCTTTAAACGTGGCTTCTCTGAGGAAGTTTCTAAGTTGGCATCGGCTATTCCATTACCAGTGTCTAACTGGAGACTGGTAATACAGAGGTATATTGTAACAGCATCATCATTATCCTGGAAAGCAGCTGAAATCCCACTGCCTGAGTCATTAAAAGAGAAAGCAGACAAACTCTGGAGGTTTTAGGTCATATCAGGTCCTTGAAATTTTTAACTTCTGTCATCCTATACCTTGCTCGTACCATCTGAGACACCAATTAAACTTTAATTGCTGCGTTCTCACTGCATTTTCTTCCTTCATAACGGCTCCAAGTTAAAACCTGTAAACCAGCCGCAAGCAGAGCTTAAGAACTCTTCATTTCCACCATGCTCGCGAGCTTCATTCAAAATGCCAGCAAAAAAGACTGAAGGAAGATTACTAACTGTAGTTCTTTTGTGGCAGAAGCACTGTAAATGTACCTGACAGCTGCCTATTACAGCATTTAAGTACTCCTAGAGTGTTTAAAAGGGCGCTGTCAAAATATTTTTCAAAATATTATTACCCATTATTTATATTCTAAACAGAATTTGTTAGTAGACAAAATTTGCTCTTCGAGAGGCACACGGTAGCTTTGTTACCAGAGAGTTTCTTCTGATACACTGTTCTTTAAAAAGAAAACAAACACGAGTCAACGACATAACTGATGTGAGACTTGCCTTCGAAAGAATTGCTCAACTAGGTACAATGAAAAAAGCTAAACCTTCAAATCCTTTTTAAAAATAAATAAATAAATAAATAAAATGATCACTACTTAAGTTCATCTCATGAAGTGTATGAGGAAGCAGCCTGAGAAAGGCAATATGAGTTTAAACAAAGGCAGTACACGAATATGGAAGCAAGGATCCAAATCAGTCCGAGCACTAACACAAAGCCAGCAGCCTGTATGTATTTTCCGCACAAAAAGTTACAGATAAAGTTTTGACCTCCCATGTCAATGTTAGCAAAGTCTCCCATTGATTTCAGGAGGACCCGGTTCAACTCTACCACTCTTCTGGCCTCAGGGGTTTCAGTGTACCTTCTTGACTTCCCCTTGTAATTCCAAAACGATTTCTTCCTCTTAAACAGAGTTTCTCATCCTATTGCTCTTTTCCCCACTGACGACTCTGTATCTTTGAGCAAAACATTTAGCAAACACAGAAACACCCCAGGGTGACCTCTGATAGCCACAGTCTCTATCACCCAGCATCCACAGAAATACATGTCTTCTCACAAGGATTCTCTAGAGCGACTGCTGGCCCTACGGACCCCCATTCCCAACCCCGTGCCCAGAAGGTTTTGCTGATGGCAGACTACAGGATTAGGACAAGTTACGATTGCTTTTACCCCCCAACAAAAGGTTTCCATGTCCTGAAGGACTCTGGAGAAAGGCAGCTCCATGGCTAATGCCCCATTTTTGCCAACTCCAAAGAGAAGTTCGGCATCGAAGACACGATGTACACAGCAAAGAGGAAAGAAGAGTGTGAAACCATGTTGTACGCTGAGGATTTCTTCTAAAAGCCTTATGGCTTCACTAGATGGGTGTGGTGGGTTGACCCTGGCTGGATGCCAGATGCTCACCAAAGCCCACTCCATCATCTTCCTCAAGCTACTAATACAAAACACAGCACTCTGAGGGCTGCTATGGGGAAAATCAACTCCATCTCAGCCAGACCCAATACAATGGGACAATAAAAGCTAGTACTGGATCCTTTAAATAGACATGGCCACCTTTTGCCATACCACAGGGCAAAGAGCCACCATTAACCCATTCACAGAGGTGGTTCAGTTACTAAGGAACCATGGTGAGCAGGTCAAGGGAGGTGATTCTCCCTCTCTACTCTGCTCTTGTAAGGCCCCACCTGCAGTGCTGCGTCCAGTTCTGGAGCCCCCAAAACAAGAGAGACATGGAGGAGCTAGAACGAGTCCAGAGGAGGCCACGAGGATGATGCGAGGGCTGGAGCACCTCTGCTGTGAGGACAGGCTGAGAGAGTTGGGGCTGTTCAGCCTGGAGAAGAGAAGGTTCCGGGGAGATCTTATAGCGGCCTCCCAGTACCTGAAGGGGCTACAAGAAAGCTGGGGAGGGACTTTTCATAAGGGCAGTTAATGATAGAACAAGGGGAAATGGCTCTAAACTGGAAGAGGGGAGGTTTAGATTAGATCTGAGGAAGAAATTCTTTCCTGTGAGGATGGTCAGACACTGGAACAGGTTGCCTAGAGAAGCTGTGGATGCTCCTCCCTGGGAGGGTTCAAGGCCAAGTTGGATGAGGCTTTGAGCAACCTGGTCTAGTGGAAGGTGTCCCTGCTGATGGCAGGGGGGTTGGAGCTGGATGAGCTTTAAGGTCCCTTCCAATCCAAACCATTCCATGATTCTATGAACACCAAATCCAACACAAACCAGCACAGCTTTGTACAAAACAAAATTGTCCAGTGGGTGAAATCCTGATCACACGTGCGCAGCCGAGACAGTGAAGGAAATAACAAGTGATTGCTTCTCTCTGCCACATCGGGCTCCAGACTGACATAGTGTTTTCTGCAGGTCACAAACACTGCCTGGAGTATATTCCACTGCACAAGATTTAACGTCATCTTTGGAGCCATATTGAGCCAAGAAGTTGTCAGTGTTTTCATGGCAGCTGTAATTTTGGTTTAAACCTGGCTATTTTTGTCATTATTTCACACCACTGATGAACCTAGGTGGGAGAGAGGGAAGCGGTACACTGCTCCTCTCACAGTTAGATGATCAGTGATGGTGAAAAGTATTTCCATAGTGTATCCATGGACACCTGTTCAGGCTGAGCACTCTTTTTATAACAGAAAATACCATCTGACTTTTAAGGCAAAATACGCAATTATGATCTTAAATTAACCTGTTTTAAGCTAAAAGAGTTTAACAAATATTTATATCAGAATTATTTTTGTTCCACCCTTTGCATTAAAAAAATAGCCAATCGTGTTCCTGCCACAATAAAGACGTTGTATATAGATTTAAATCCAGGAACTAATTTCCATGAAAAGCGATAAATCCTTACGAGCAGGTTCCTTAATGGAATTACTTAAGATCTTTTTAGTAGTTTGATCCAGCATAACTAAAATAAATAAGCACATATATTAGGCATGTCAGGCATATTACGTTCTCTAAAACATGAACAAGCACGATTTTCAAAGCCAACCCTCTGTAAATGGTCAGTACACACATCAAGCATGGCTTAAGTACCTTGGTTAAGCTGTTCTTCCACTTGCTTGAATAGACCAATACATCAGATCTGGGGTGAGAAGTTCTTGCTTGAGTGTAGAGCGGTTTTTCAACTTTTTGTTTTGAATTGAGGAGGGAGAGAGCTACTTTTGTCGACAAACCAAGAGGATTGGGATTGTTGGGACTAATGGTCCAGGTAGAATAGGCTGAGATTTTCTGATCGTTTTGCAGCAGATGCAATGGTTTTCTCTTCAGGAGGTAACACCAGGTAAAACTTGTTGAGGTCTTGAGGCTTGGAAATGACAACCTCTGCATTTCTCCTGTGTTCATGGCAGCCAACATAGTTACAGGATTTGCTTGCCCCTGGCTATTGATTTGTTTGCTCTCACTGCTGTTACTTGGGGACCTTCTTTCTTGACTGCTGCTTACAGCCTTGAGAAGAGAACTCTCATTATTCACTGGAGACAATTCAGATGGTTTTCTAACTACAGACACTGGTGATGCTGAAGACTGATGGTCTTCAGATTCTGGTGACTCCTTTCGGGTCTCTGAAACCCCAGTGTCAGAGGAATGACAGTCAGGCAACAGCAGGTCTGAAGTACCAGCTTTGCTGCTTTTTTCATGCTGTGCAACACCATCAGGATCTAAGAGGTGATTTTCAAGAGGCTCTGTGGTGCAAACCTGCCTTACCAAAACTGGTTTCTTCTGCTTACTAGTAGGGTCATTAGATCTAACGTTCAGTGAATGCAATGGTCTAGCATCTGTCACGCAAGCAGCTCCACTCTCATCTTTAACACGTTTTTGCTGTTTCTCCATGGCAATATCTAAACTGTTGGCTGGGGAAAGCATTCGTTTACTTGAAGCTGTAGCTTCTTGTTGAGGGAAGAGTCCGCTAACTGGCACTTTCTGAATAATGTTCAAAGAGCTTGACAAAGGTGAATTTCTGGTTCCACTTTCTGGTAGTGAATTTTCAAATTCAAACGAATTTGGCAAAGTCCTCTGATGATCTTTGTGAGATTTTGGCAGTTGAGTTTTGCCTTCAAGTGTTGGCACTGTTGCAACATTTGTTTTGCAAACAGATGGATTGACCTGATCCTGGGTCACTAAAATGTGAGGAAGGGGTGTAACAGTTGCAAAGCCATAGGATGGCATACTGCTGTGAATACGGACGGGAACCACGAAAGGAGGAATCTGGTGCACTTGACTGCTGCAGTTATTTGGGACAATTTGCTTTAGAGGAGGCACAGAGTATGGATTAGACACGTCCGACAGTTTAGTCTGCAATTCAAAAGAGGATGTGTTCTGGTCCACCCCAACTTGACTTGGAACTGTCTGAGTTGATAAAGTATTTTTTAGTAATTTAGAAGAGTATGGCTGACCTATATGTAATGTTTTAACTTGAAGTTGATATTTTGGAGCAAAACAATCCTTCTTTTCCTCGGGATGACAAGAAAGTAGGTACGTGCTCACTTGTTCCCCTTGGGCTGATGGTTTGGTCGATGTCTGGGAAAGCTGATGTGTTGAGGATGGCTGTCCTTTATTATTCAACACGCGATCTAGAGGCTGCTGAACTGAAGACAGGGTAACAGGGTTACAATTCTGAATTGCTGAGTGAGGAGGCCTGGAGTGAGACTGTGAATGCTGAGTACTTGAAGGAAACTCTACCAAAGATTTGCTGGAGGTCTGCAGCCTGTGCAATGGCACTGTGGGCACATCCGTAGCGTGAGCTGTTTGAAATGAGGAAGTCGATTGAACTTGAGGCTGATGACTTTCTGGAGCAATATTTAAAGATATCTGTCTTACAAATGGCCCCCTTCTCCTTTCTAGCAGAGGCACGTGCCCAGTAACTCCATTTGCAGATGATGCTTTTGGAGCAGCTATCTCTACGAGCGAGGCAGGTCTTGAGGGAGACATGCTCCCACAGTCAAAAGACTTACTCCTGTAGTCCACAACCTCCATTGACGGCTGCGTGCAGCTAATCTGCTCCGAGGCGGCACGTCTCATTTCCCTGCAGTGAGGGCCAGGCACAGCCAGCGCGTGTGAGCCAGCGGGAATCAAGAGGAACTCTGACGACTTGCTAACAGGTTCTGCTTTGGAAGGGTTCTCAGCCTTCAAAGTTTCATCTTTATCGAGTGAAGCTGAGAAACTGGAGGCATGAGATAAACTACTCTCCCGACTTAGGCTTCTGGAAAGCGTGGAGTCAACACTTGACTCGGCAGATGAATGCTCCATTTCAGCCAAGCGAATTCTTTTCTTCTTTGGTGGAAGCTTTTCTGTTGGCAGTTTTGACAGCGTTTCGCTGCGCTGTGGCCAATTAAACCTTTCTGTCTTTTCCTGATCGCTGCATTGGTTTTCTTGGTCCCTGTCTGGTTCTTCTGTGACCAGTATTTCAGGAACCTGGATGTTATGCTGACGAACAAGTCTCGACGGCTGAAGCGGTGCGCTTCTCTCATTAGAAACTATTTGGCTTCCCTGAACGTCCCCTCTAGGTGCTTCTGACGACAGAGGTTGATGATGTTGGGGACTATTCAGATGAGAGTGTCTGTCCTCCTGGATGACAATCGTATTCACGGAGCGGTGCTTCGCAACCTTGTTGGGCTCTTGAGAAGAAACTGGTGATACTCTTTCAAACGACTCTGATTTCTCAAATGAGCTGTTTCTGCTCAGTGAATTGGTGTGCTGTATTACTGAAATGCCAGTCCCTTGTCTCTTCAACTCCACCTTCTCTTGCACAACTGAACTTGGCTGCTTTTCAATGAGCGGAGCCATCTTTGGCTCAGTAGTCTGATCTGTACCTCGAGCCACAAGCTGAATTTGGGAACTCTGAAGTAGAAGGTTGCTTGGCTGTTGTGATCCCACCACTGTTGTCGCACTGTGTTTCGACAGACTGGAAGAATTTGCTGGCTTGCTTTGGACTTCTGCGTTCTTTGATGGTATGCTTGTATCGTTTTGCTGAGGGTCATCGTCATCACCAACACTTTTCATTTTCCTCCTTTTCCTTATCTGGGGTGTCTGCTCCCAGACGCCAGTTGAAGTAGTGACTCTGTAGTGTAGAATTTGAGGCTGTGTACTATTTGGAACATTTTTATGCTCAGGCTCTCGGATTGCTGCTTTAGTTTTAGGTCCATGCAACTCTGAACAATAAAATTTCTTGTGGTTTTCAAAATTTTCCAGTTTTCTATACCTGTTTCTGCAGGTTTCACACTCAAACATTGTTCCTCGCACCTGAGGGGACTTCTTTGTTTTTTCTAAACTTGATGCCTGTGCTAGGGACTTACTCCTTTGCAATAAAGATTCATTTGATAAATTACACCCCAGATAACTTTCTTCTGGAGGTCGCACTGGTCCCAGAATTTGGTTTTCGCCAGTAGAAGAATCTTCTATTGCTGCCTGTCTAACAAGGGGCCGAGGATGTCCGCCTTGGTTCAGTGGAGTAGCAGGTCCAGATACAAAAACATCATCGTATAAGGAGCCAATTTTATCATCAAATGACTGACTTCCTCGAAGGGGATGAGGGGGAGGTATTACATTTGGAGGTACTGCTGAGTAACTGGTAGTAGGCATGGAATTACTTCGTGTTATAGGTAAACAGTCAAGGGATGGTACAGAAAGAAGGAAAACTTGCTTTGATTTCTCAGTGGGTGTGAAAGGAGACTTTGGTATATCAGAGCTTGAGCTAGTTCTTCTTCCCATGGGCTTTAAATCAAACTGGAAAGAGTCTTTAAATATGTAGGATTTTGGTGAATCTATGCTTCCCCTTCTTGAAAGAGATGTTCTTCTTGGTTTCACACTATCTAACTGTTTGTCATCCACAACAGCTTCATTATCAGAAATTAACTTTGAGATCCGCTCCTCAAGGGTTTTTGTCGCCATGGGAGGTCGCATTTGGCCTGAGAGAATCAGGTTTTTTTCAGAACAAACAGTCTGTACCACTGATGCTACCACACCGCTTCCTCGTGGCACACAGGGCAGATTTTTATTTGGATCTTTCTCAGAGGTCAGCAATCCTCTTACAAAAGGAGCTGGTGGGCTCATCGTTTGATCGGCACTTTCAGAACGAGAAAAATAACCAGAATCAGTACTACCCAAACTTCTAGGGCTCAACAGACTTTTTCCTTGCTGATCTTGGGAACCTTCGGTTGCCTGTTGTCTCTGGAGCTGAGCATGCACTGTTCCTACTGCAGACCCCAGCTGTTCCTCTGACAGGCCCATTTCTACTTTCTGATGTTGCTTTATGTCACTCTCCTTGAACGAGGCTGTGTGTGTTACGTTTGACTGGAGAGTTGTCACTTTAAAATCTCCTTTTCTCTGTGCTGCTGCAAGCTCGGGTGCTGGTTCTGTTACTTTGGGGCTATCAGCCCTTAATGGAGAAACATTTACAGGATGAACTACAACTTTTGGTAAAGCTGCCCTTACTTGAGGTTCTGTATCATGTAATGAAGAGTCACCTGGTAGACAGTCTGGGTTGCTGAGTGGAATAGGACTTCCTTTCCTTAATGTTTCTGCACTCGAAATGACTTTCACTATTTGTGTGGGTTCCAGTTCTTGATCATCTTGTCTTTCATCAGCAGTGCCCTCATCCTCACTTTCACCGCTTTCTTCCACGTCTGAATGAATGCTAAGTGCTTTGTCTGAGTCATGAGACAAGAAGAGGCCACCTGAATCTGGTTGTAGGACAAGTCCAAGTTTGATAGCATGCGCATGAGATTTTTTGTGCTTGTACAGATTGCTTTTGGTTTTAAATGAAAACCCACACGTCACACAAGGATACGGTCGCTCTCCAGTATGGGATCGGATGTGCTTTTGGAGAACGCTGGGCTTGGCACAGGCCCGGTTGCAATACTCACAGACGTATTTCCCTAGTTTTTTAGGCTTCTGGTCTTTCAAGAGGTTACATATTTGTTCTACACCGTGGTTTACAACTGAAGCTATCTGGGCTGAATTATACATGGGACCTATAGACAAGTGTGTTGAACTCGATGTGCTAATTGACAAAGGTGAAGATGAACTAGCTACTAACTGGTTTTGAGGAAAAACCTGAGTTACAGTGGAAGATGAGGTGGGAACAACAGATGAAGTTACCGCAATGCTGTATATCTGCTGGAGCTTGGGGTTTTCTTGACTCTGCTGTTGCACCAGCGACCTAGTGAAACTTGGACACATAACAACCTGGTGATTTTGTTGACTAGCTTTAGTAATAAGATCTTGCGACTGAGAAACCGATTGGCCTTGTGCTTGTCCAGTCTTGGCTGTTGCTGCTACATGCACATTGTTTAACGTACACGGGTAATAGTGAGGTCCAGCTGCAAATTCATGCTGTGACAAAGCGGACTGATTTTGAACGCTCATTGTATTGGACGTGAGACTAGAAGAGGTGCTTACAGTTTTATTTGGTCTCAGTTTCTCTATCTGCATCCCATAAGGGGGGCACTCTTGTGCTAAGGTGTTCAGTTCAGGCTCCATAGCTTTTAATAAGACATCGAATGCGGTACGTGTACATGGGGATGACGTACTGCAATCAACAAAATTAATACATTCATTACTGTCAGTCTTTGTTTTACTTGATGAGGAGTTTGAGAGAGACTTCTTCTCTGGTGAGTTCAGTTGGTTTGCATCAGTATCCTCCACTGCCCGTTTACCCAAATCTAAGGACTGATGCGTCAACGAAAGCTTTGTCTGCATTGATGTCTCAGATTTGGTTGTTTCAACACTTATCTCACTACTAAGCGCTCCCCCGTTCTGTTTGGTACATTGATTTCCATTTTGCACGGGCGGGTGATCCTGTGCCGTGGCGTGTTCCGAGGCATCCAAAAGAGCTTTTAGTGGTGATGGGTCTACATTTTGCTTAACCTTGGCTTCGGCAGGGCTTCTTAAAGGCGATTTTGGTATTTTCTTTAGGTGGTTTTCAGTCACAATCTTTTTTCTTTTCACACCCTTAACTGTATCTTGGGTTCCTCTAGTACCAGCATCGGTGATTTCTATTAAAACACAAAGAGAACAAAAAAGAATATTAAAACTGGATAATGCAGTATAGTTTTATTTACACCATTTTATCATGTCTAAGTTTCAACAGTAAGCCCTGGGGCAACAGGACTGTCCATTTCTCCAGCCTCCAATATTTTTTCTAGCAGTAAATGTATCTTTGTGAAGATCTATGTTGTTTTCATCTAAAAAGAGCAATGCTTTCTAACTGATGTTGTAAGACATTACAAAAGTAATTCATTATAGGAAAAGCTTCAAAGGAAATGTAAGAAAGGAAAAGCTACTGAAAGAATATTTTAACATTTATAGCAACTCCTTTTCAGATAAAGTAAAAAGAAACCTCTCTCTTGCACTTGTTGAAAAATTCAAATCATTACAGCAGGAAAATGGAGAACCAAAACACAAATCCATTTTCATGTTGTGTTTGTCACTTTTTCCATCTATATGTTGCAGTAGTCAAGGAATGAAGACAACTTCCTCACGGTTACATTTGTAAGTCGATTTATCATGGAAATGGCACAACCACCCACACCATCTGTCAAATACTGTATTTCAGAGCTCCAATTACTGAACTTCAATAGCATTTCAGATGAGCAACTACTGTGGATTAGTGAAATCAGTCACACTTAAATGATTTTCCATTTGTGCATCATGAAAGAAACTAAACTAAATTGGAATTATTTCATTACTAGCCACACTTGTTGCTGATTTTAAGCAGGTATGCACGCGGAGTTTCAGGGGTGTAGTGAAGAGCAAATGAACTGGAATATTATTCAGCAGAACAATTTTATAGCAAGGACTTATACTGTACAGAGTCCAATTTCCTCCGTAACAGAAAATACATAGACTGAATTTCAGTGTTGATACTTCCAAGCTTATTTTTTTATAGATACCTGATGTTACACATCTGCGTTTAACTCAACAGTTATTTAATCTGTCAGTTGATTATTTAATTTTTATTTTTACTTTTTTCCTAACATCCACTCAGTCATAGCCACTGCCTCAGCTACCATCATTGGTACTGCAGAAGAAGCCAAATATTAAACAGATGTAAATCTATTTTCTTCAGCTTTTACAATTAATTCATTAAGCTGTTAACCAAAACCATATTCATCTGATTGCCAATACTCAAAGCGAAGGAAGAATGTGATGTGACTAGAGGGCTGCTGCACATTTTCGGAAGCAGTGCTGAGTAATTCCATGTAGTATGTTTACCTGCTCAGAGTTACTCAGGAACAGAGGTTTATGTCCACTTCTACATAAAGAAAAACCTTAAGACAACATAGAAAGGGACAAAATTCTTACACTCAACTTCACAAGGAGCTAAGTGGAGAAAGCTCAGAATTCTCCATACCCATCAACCCCACGGCCCCGCTTTGAGTGGCACAATGACTATCCTCTCGCAGATACACCAGCTGTCTTCTACACCATGGTGGGAGGAAAGCCAACGCATAGCATGCATCTGACAAGAGATGACTGGAGCTGATGAATCCAGGGTGAAATTCCTGCTCCATATAAAGGAAATCCAGGCAATGCCTCAAGCTTGTCTAGCAGAAGAGAATGCAAACCAACCAGCAGAAAAAGAAAGGCAAGAAGATGTTGTGTTTTCTCGGTGCCAGAGCATAACCCAACTGGGATGCGTGCTAATGACAGACATTTGGAAGTTTAAAATTCCATTTCTAACTCGATGCCAACGTAATGTACACACGTGTTCATTTAGGATGAATGGATCTTCAGGAGATTTACTTGCAAACTGAAAGATTAAAGACTACACATGACACATAATGTATTGCAAAAGCAGAAGTTCTGCAGAACCTGACCTACTCCTCTCACAGCCTGACTAGAGGAAATCTAACTGTGAAGACTGAGAGACTGTTTTGTCACATTCTGCAGTCCCATAAAAGAGATGCTAGAATCCCTTGCCAGAGCTAATGGCTCTGAATCCTGGTTATGGGGATTTCGTGCTGCTCTTGTGCATCCAGAAATAAATTTTTGCAGTAATCGTTCACTTAACCTTTAAGTGAACTTTATTGTATTTATTGCTTTATCACCAAAACCTATTCGTATTAGACTGGATTTAACATATTCAAAGCCGAGCTGTCTTCCATCATGATGTTTTTTGTCCTTTCTGTTGCTTCACAATTAAACAAGTGGCTTACACTAACAAATTATCATCAGTATTTTAACTGGTGATCTCTTTGAAATTCATAATCTATTGCGACTGTTTTTTCTTCAGTAACAACAAAAACCAATTTTACACAAATCAAAGAGAAAATAACAAGGTAATTATATAAAAGAATGCTTTTAGCCATGGTTTGGTGATCTCTCAGAAGCGTGGCCATGTTAATTGAGCGTAAGTAATTTGGTTCCTTTTATGCACACACTGCAGCTTTTATCCCGTCACAATCACGCCCCCACACCGATCACACTGCCGGTGTTTGTACCAGAGCTCTACGGGAAGAGCTGGGCAGATTACACGCAGCTAGGAAGGTAAGAGTGGCAGGAATTGTGAACATCCAAGCAGATGAACGTACACAAAAAGACTAAGGTGTTTTATACTGCAGTAACTGAACAATCAAATGATGTGCTTCTTCCTGATGCCTCAGAATATTAAATAACTGCTATTCCTGGCTTTCAACCGTATAATGCAGAGGAACAAGTGTACTCACCCTGCACCATGCTAGTGAACTGGAAACCAACACTGCTGAAAGATGTAATGTGGCTTAAGAAAGCCTTTAAGAAAGTAAAAATGTATCTCTACTCCACCAATTAAATAATTATTAATTCATTATGAAAATAAGATCAGAATTTTCCATAATCTATTTACCACTTTACTTTAAAAAAAAATGTTGTTCCACACCTGCCAAACCATAAAAATTGTTCGAGAAATTGAAAAGAAAAAAGAATACACAAAGGTAAGTTATGCATTACGTATAGAAATAGTAATTTTCTTTAGTTTCCACAACCACTAATTATGCTGCTTCTATACCAATGAAATTCCAGACTGCAGAAATCAGGAGAACTAGTTTCCTACTTGTATTTCTGACTCTGCATCTTTTATGATTCCAGTGATGGAGTCACAGGTTTGTATCAGTGCACCTGTCTATAACACCTCATAGAATGTACTTACCTGACAATGGCTTAACAATAGCTTAAGTCCTGTGCTCTACTCTACTCCCTGATAATGTGGAAATCCTTATTACTAATGGAAATATTCACCTCATGTTTGCTAACAACCAAATTTCTAGCCTATTTGGGGAAAAAAGGAACCCCCGACAACTTCATTTCACTTATTTTTTTTAGCTTTTTGTTCCTTTTGTATTATGTCTTCTTTTTGTATTCCCAGTTTATGCTGAAGACATTTCATTCCACGTTTGTTAATCTACAGCTACATGCTTACACAAAGATCAACAGCATCAGTATTTCGAGAGGCAACAACGAAACTGGTGGAAATCAGCAGTCCCAGAACGCTAAACACTCCTCTGCCTTCCAGAGCTACAGACTTTCAGGAGGGTGATAACGTCCCAGGGCCGTTACAGCAACAAGCTGACACTGAACAAAGAGAACATAAAAACATCCTCATGTGAAAAAAATAAAATAATAATAATGAAGTTGATCTGCTTTTCTTTCTCTCCCTGCCACTCCACGCACTCTACTCTCCTCCCTCTGCAATCACAAAGCCCTTCTCACCGTTCGGTGGTAATTCCCTTTTTCTCAGGTGGTGAAGTGGTGTTGTTGAGAAGTGCTGTCACCTCAATCAGATGTCTGAAAAGCACCTTTTTCATAAGCTTTATTACATCAAATCGGATTATGTTCCCCAGCCCAAGAGAAGAGGTAACAATGCCATTGTGCTCACCACCTCACTTTTCACATCCCAGGGACACTGCAGCATGTCTTCCATGCTTTGCCTGGTTGGCTTTGTTCTGCTTTGCTATCAAGACTCTCTCTTTATTTCTTTCACTTTTGAATTCTGCACTCAAAAGATGACAAGAAAAACTGATGTTTCTGAACATGACTTTGTTTACCTATAATTTCTCTGCTGCACTTCGCTCTATGCACAGGAAACCGAGCAAAAGAACCCAAGTGTGAAGGTGTAGACAGCAATCCGGCAGAGTAATTCATGCAGCAAGTAAAGGAATGGTGTAAAGTGATCTGATTTCTTTTCTTCCGAAGCATTCACTGGTGAACTAGACAGTGTCTTGACAAAATGATCTCAATGGTTTTGTTTAAGTAACTTCCAGAACTGCTTGTCTCAAAGCCTACGTGTTCTTATAACGCCCACTCTCTCTCCTTTCTAATAGAGCTATCTGCTTGTACTTAAAAAAAAAAGGGAGGAGAATAAGAGGGAACCGAAGCAAGGCACCAAGATCCCTCCTCCCTTGGTGCTACCCTGTGAAACATGGAGCAAGCAACCACTGCCTGCCCCTACAGCTCAATGAATGGCACAATTTTCATCTCATGGGATCACTTCTTACAGAATTAAATAAAATCATTGTAGGCTTACATATAGAGACCAGATTTTCAAATCCAAGCAGCTAAACTTTAGCTCCTAAATCTGTACTTTGGCTCCCAGGGCTCTGTGAGTAAGATCAAGCCTCTTCTGAAAGTGTTTAAATACTAGTTGATGTCTTAAACATACAGCTAAAAGGTTGCCCTGACACCTAACAATGGTAGCGATTCAAAAGGGCAAGGCTTTTCAAAAGACAGAGACCATCACTAAGGATCTTATTCCGATTAAAGCTAAGCTTCCCAGTGTCTTTAGATAGTAAAAATATTCTTATTTGTGACATCTGACACTTATTTAACTTTGATTTTCACCAAAACTATCAAAAGCACTCATAAATCAACCCACTGGGTCTGTTCTCATGAATAACTAAAGAATATGATGATGAGCTAAAGAAATAAGTCTTGCCAGTGAATGTAAAGCCACTAGAACTTATATTAAACGCAGCATGGAGTAACTAAACTATTCATTATTTTTTTTTTAAATTACCTC